CAGTGGGGAACTGGAGAAGATGTCTGCAACAGCAGATAAATTATACAGCTTTTAAGAAACATTGTAAAAGAGCAATGCAAAACCGACAGCTTTATAGGCAAAGGTATCTTTTAGTGTTCTTATATTTACATTATTCAAAACATTGTTGATTATCATTAAAGTTACCATCTGGTTTATTTGAGATTCAGTACAAAAAAGGAAGAAATACTGTGTTCAAAAATTTATTGCTGAGAGTTTATGGTAGATCGGGATTATTTTTTGTGGATCCAGCTTCTTGAAAGCATGGCATATTTTTTAGATAATGTTATGCACAAAGTTTTTGCAGACACCAGAAACCTTTCAAATATTACACAGAGATATCTGGGCCATTACATAAAATATTGTTTTGTAAGCATTCTAGGACAGACTGTTCCTGTCTGTAATAAATCATAATGCTGTCATTTCTGTCATATTTAATACAGAATGAAAACTGTTCTCCTGTCTTCAAGTAATTGGAGTAGAAAGGCATCCATAGCCAACTTACTGTATATACAGATATTTTTATAAATATCAAATTAGACCTTTCATCTTTCTCTGCTTTACTGTTTGTTAGCTTGACACTGTAGATAATGCTTAGTATTTGGCAAATTATATGCTGTGTTTATGTGAGGGTTGAAGCAGTTCTTCCTAATTATTTTCAAACTATACCATACTCTATGCTATACAGTAATAATTTTCCATGAATAATTTCAGTACAGTAACTTTCAGGACTAACAAAGCTCTGTACCCCTATCATATAGAATTACTACTGGTGAATAAAATAGTTGCTATACATTGTGCTGTACATTGGGCAGCATGATGGCTCAGTGGTAAGATGCTGGACTTGTCAGCTGGAAAGTCAGCAGCCCAGATTCAAGACCCAGATACCGTGTGAAGGGGTGAGCTCCCATTCTCACCCCAGCTCCTATCAGCCCACCAGTTTGAAAGTATGCAGATGCGAATAGATAAATAAGCACCACTTCAATGGGAACGTAACAGTGCTCCGTGATGCCATGTGGGCCAAATGACAGTGGAAATGTATTCAGATAGTGCTGATTCAATGGTCTTGAAACAGGAGCACCGCCCCTAAAATCGGCTATAGCTAGCAGAGTAAAATCAGCAAGGATTCCTTTACCTTTTTATACATGATGCCATCCATGTGTTGCTTTGATTTGATCCATGGAATATTTTAGGATTTCTTTTGTTCTTTGTGTATCCTGAAAAATCTATGAAATTTTTAGCTCAGTTTCTGACTGTTAAGAAAGGACTGTGTGCTATATCTCTACCACATATAATTTCTAAGCAAAGCCAATTATTATTTTTAAGAAAATGGATGTAGTCCCTTACAGATCTATAAGTTTTTGCGAAAAATAAAATGGTACTAGAGGCTTGCATATTGTTCTGCTGTAAGCTGACTATTTCTTAAATGAATATTTTTTTAAAAAAATAGTCAAAATAGAGAATTTGGTAAGGTTCTAGGCATAACTTCATGGTTATCTATTTTAACTTCTGAAACAACAATATTTTAGGCAGTCTAACAATCTATAACATAATATTTAAACATTTTGATTTGGGAAAAACATACTTTTTATCATTTTAGTATTGAGAACTATGCACACAGTTTAATTCTCACCAATGAAGTGGAAGAATTATTTTTCTTTTCAGTTTAACTCTGCACTCAATTTAATCTATGCAAAGAGAAGTAATATAATGTAGTTGAAATAGTATTGATTTTCTCATCAGAGCTGAAGGAAATTAAAACTGGTGACAGTATGATTATACCTTCTGTAAGAGATCACAATTACTGAAATGCATAAAGTATCATTTCTTGGTTTATGCAATCCCTTTAACCACTATTAAATCATTTTAGAGAATATCTCAATGCAGCCTTTTGCAACCTGGTACTCTCCTAATGTGCTGGATTTCAACTTCCACATTGTTCAGCAAGCACAATTGGATAATTGCCAAATGATTGTATTTACAAATACTACATTTATATGTATGTAATAATTTCTTTTATCCAAGTGTTTGCTTAAAGTTTCTAAAATTCACTCTTTTAGGACTAATATAATCTCTGACGGAATTAATGAAATAAGACTTTTCATGGACATGTATGAATATGGTGGCTCAGTGGTTAAAGACGCTGAGCTTGTCAGCTGGAAAGCTGGCAGCCCAGGTTTGAGCCCTGAATGCTATACAATGGAGTGAGCTCCCATTACTTGCCCTAGGTCCTACCCACCTAGCAGTTTGAATAGCTAACTCCCAAGAAGATAGGCTCAAGATCCATCTGGATCTTGACAGACTAGAACACTGGATCGTATCTAACAAAATGAAATTCAATGTAGAGAAAAGTAAAGTCCTACACTTAGGCAAGAAAAACCAAAAGTACACATATAGACTGGGTGAAACCAGGCTCAATAGCAGTAACTGTGAGAGGGATCTTGGAGTCTTAGTGGACAATGAGCTAAATATGAGCCAGCAGTGTGCAGCAGCAGCCAAAAAAGCTAATGCAATCCTAAATTGTATTAACAGGGATACAATCGAGATCAAGGGAGGTACTAATACCACTCTATAAAGCCTTAGTAAGACCACACCTAGAGTACTGCATCCAGTTTTGTTCACCACATTATAAAAAAAGATGTTGAGACTCTAGAAAAAGTACAGAGAAGAGCAACCAGGATGATTAGGGGACTGGAAACTAAAACATACGAAGAACGGTTACAGGAACTGGGCTTGGCTAGTCTAGTAAAGAGAAGGACCAGGGGAGACATGATAGCAGTCTTCCAATATTTGAGGGGCTGCCACAGAGAGGAGGGGGTCAAGCTATTTTCTAAAGCGCCTGTAAGGAATAATGGATGGAAACTGAACAAGGAGAGATTTAACCTGGAAATAAGGAGAAACTTTCTGACAGTGAGAACAATCAACCAATGGAACAGCTTGCCCTCGGAAGTTGTGGGAACGCCATCACTTGAGACTTTCAAGAAGAGATTGGACTGCCATTTGTAAGAAATGGTGTAGGGTCTCCTGCTTGGGTGGGAGGTTGGACTAGATGACCTACAAGATCCCTTCCAACTCTGATTATCTGTTATCTGATTATCTTTTATCTGTTATCTGAAAGCATGCAAATATAAGTACATAAATAGGTACCACTTTGGTTGGAAGATAATAGCTTTCCGTATTTCTTGGTATATAGTCATGCTGGCCACATAACTATGGAAATGTCTTCGGATGATACTGACTCCCTCAGGTAATAAACAGAGATGAGCACTGTCTGTAGAATTGGAAGCAACTGGACAGGGAAAAAGTTTACTTTTATGAATAATTTATCATTAAATCAATCTTTATTATAACCATAAATCAGCATAAGGAGGGTGGTATATAGTCAATTATCAAGCATAGAAAATACATCATTGTAAAATATTATAAAAAATTAGAAGGTATTAAAACATAAAGTAGATATAAAAAGAAAAGTCTAAAATAATCTAATAGGAGGAATAAGAACATTAAATATAATAAATCCATTCTCCAAAATCAATCTGATCTTCCCAAAAGAGTCCAGATGAGATTGTTTTCCAGTTGAGTATAATAAATCCATTCCCCAATCTTCTTCAGTCTTCTTTTTATCACTTATCCAGTCAGTCAGTTCTAAGTCTGTAACGCCCATATTTCTTTCAGTCTTCTCCACCGAATCGGCCAATTCTCCATTGAGTCGACGGGAGAATCCAGGCTGGGTAGTCTCTAGTCTCATTGCTCTACAGACTGTGTTGAATTCTGAAGACATGCCCCCTGGTAACAGTCCCCAGTTCTTCACTCAGTCTCAGCTCATTCAGACCACCCTAAAAGGGCTCTGAATTATTTGAGTTTGTTGAAGAATTATTCTACTCCCTGGATTCTCTTCGCCGTTTAGATTTACGGAAAGGTTTGACAGCTGTCTGGCTTTGTCGGCTCAGCCGCCTTTTGTTTATTGCACCCTTTTTATTTTTGCGCTTTTTAATTTTCCTTTTTTAAAATTTCAATTCCCTTTGCTTTGTTGACATTTTGTGTGTGTGTGTTTTTGGTGTGGATTGTGTACTGAGAGTGCCCCAGAGAGCCCATGTGGCCCAAATATAAAGTATAAACCAAGTTCTTTTGTAAATCTAGTTTAACTAGATTTTACAGTTACTTGGAACTGGGCATTCTTTGTAGCCATTATTGTCAAACTTTTTATAAATGTTTTCAGATTGAGTTTGTATGTTAAAAAACAGTCTTTGCTCAAATGTCAGCTATAGTGTCTGTAAACTGATATATTACTTAACAGATAACAGATAATCAGAGTTGGAAGGGATCTTGTAGGTCAGTCCAACCCCCTGCCCAAGCAGGAGACCCTACACCATGTCCGACAGATGGCAGTTCAATCTCTTCTTGAAAGCCTCAAGTGATGACGCTCCCACAACTTCCGAGGACAAGCTGTTCCATTGGTTGATTGTTCTCACTGTCAGAAAGTTTCTCCTTATTTAAAATCCCTGTAGTGAAAATCCAATATAAATGTAAATGAAGTCAAGACACTTTTCACTACCCAAAAATGCACTTTGTCTTCATGGTTATCTGAAAGTTGTCTTGGGTCGTTCTTAAGTGCTCCTGTTCAAATCTAGGAAGTAGCACTGCCAAAGAAACAGCTTTGGCCGCAAAATCAGCAGATAATTGGCAGGGGGAAAAAACCCTCCTACTGTTCAGCAACCATCTTGGGGGAGGATCTCCGAGGAATATTTTTCAATTAGACCATACTTATCTGGTAGGGAAAATGTCATGTTCATGAATAATTTGTCAGACATTTCTACCATTCTTGGTAATATACAAGACAGACCTTGTTTCCATTCTTAAATTTGAAGACAAATATTGAAATATAATTTTCTTCTTCCTTTTTTTTTTGACCAGGTTTATTGGTTAGGCAGAAGCACAATTGGAAAGGGTGCCTATAATTGAAGTGATTTTCCATCACCATCATGAAGAAAAGTAGGAGTGTAATGACTGTCCCTACAGATGGTGTAAGTATTAACACACATGTCTGTCCACCTGTCTGTTTCAGATAAAGTATAACTAATCCTGTATTGTTGTAAGTTACAGGTAGTTCTCGACTCACAACAGTTCACTTAGTGATCGTTTGAAGTTATAACATCACTGAAAAAAGTGACATGACTATTTTTCACACTTACGATTGTTGTAGCATCTCCATTGTCATGTGATTTACATTTAGATGCTTGACAACTGACTTAACAGTAGTTCACTTAACAAATGTGGCAAGGAAAGTCATAAAATGGGACAAAACTCACTTAACATAAATTTTGGGCTCAATTGTGGTTGCAAGTTGAGGGTGCTGATTATATTAATGACTTTTAACTTGTATGTAATGTCTTACAGTGTTTCTTACAGTGCTTCTGATGCAGAAAATTGTCCAAATATACATTTATTGAATAAATGAATGCCTTGTGAAGAAAACAAGTTATTATAAAATGATGATTGAAGATGATGAAAGTTTCTGAGATGGTCAAAGAAACTTTTTTTGCTTAGAGAGAAAACAATATCTATTTTTATGGCTGACTGGAAGCCCCTTATGTACTGTTTGCATACAATGGGGAAAATTCATGTATCATTTGTGGTTTTGATGATGAGAAAAATACTGAATAATAGAACGGAATTAGCTTTCTTTTTTAATCATAAAATAAGAGATAATTTTGTAGCTATTTTTTGTGCAAAGGACATAGGAACCACCTTCATTTTATTTTTATTTTCTTGTTTCTGCATTTTTGTCTTTTTTCTTTCTTTTTTGTCTCTTTTCTGCTTTTTCTTTTTATTAGTTTGTGTTAGTTTTTATGTTCTTTGTAGAAATTCTTAATAAACATTTATACAAAAAAATGAAACATTGTATATAAATGTTATTTATATTAATATCCTATTGTGTCATCTAGAATATTCTCCAAATATAAACAGCAACCCTAATATGTCTGATGTTGACCGAATACATTTTTTTAAAAAGCCCAAACACTTAGAGATATTTTATTAGGGGTATTGTTCTATCCTTGATAATTTTGTGTAACTTTGTGGTCTATTTTTTAGCTCTACAATATTGTTTTAAAGAAGAAGAAAGTATAGTGTTTGAAATATGATTATCCCGTAAGATCTTAGCATTTTTATTTCCAACAGTTTTTCTTAATGACCAATAACAAAGAATTTGGCTTTTTACAGTATCTGTACACAATGCCAACAATTTCACTTAACTTAGCACCCTATTCAAAGTTTTTTCCTGTTTTGTATGTAAGTGAAATTTAAATTTTGTTTTTGCTCGTGTATATGTCTTTAGATATACTATATTCAATGTTGTTAGCTCAATTTGGGCAAATCTTTCTTGTCTTTTTTCAAGCCCCTTTAGTCAACATTACTTTCTTATTGTTGTTGAAGGATTATTGGCTCCATTCCAATGGGACTCTTGACTTATATTTAGCTGAAATAGCGGTTCTGATCATTCCAACAATACAACCATATTCAATCTCAATTTCTTGGCCATTACATGGAAAGGGAGGTGTATGTGTGTGTAGACATTGATAATGATTGTTTCATCCCAGTAGTACAGTTTTTGTTTAGTGCCTGAATAGGGTTCAAATCCTAGTTGGGATTTGCAAAAGTTGAAATTTTGGGAGGACATGGAATGCTTTGTAATGTAATTACAAAGTAATGCTTTGTGAAGAAAGAAAATAATGTATTATAAAATTAATACTATAACCTATAGAGTCCTGTGTAAGAATTAATGATGTGTATTTGCATTCAGACTAATGGTTGAATTGAAGCACATTTCATTTTTCCTCATTTGTAAATTTTTAGTGTGAAATTTAATGCTTATTTTAAGAATCTCTTTTATAGGAACTGTCTGCATTCAATTTTGTAATTAACTTGTACTGTAATTATAATTTTTATATTTAGCTTTATGAAATTGCTTCTTGTATAATTCAGTTTTCTATTTATTCTTTTAGATTGTTAAAGATTATTTGGAATGTCGTCTGAGCAAGTCTTATAGTGCATCTAGCCACACTCTTGGCATAGATCTCTGGAGGGGAAGAAGGTGCTGCTCTGCTAATTTACTATTACCACCGTTATCTCAAAGACAGAGTGAAAAAGCAAGAACACCAGATAACATTTCTAGGCCCACAACTTTGCCTTTATTGACGCTTCCTAGTATTGCCATCACTACTTATCAGGATAGGTAAGTTGCATGTTTAAGATTTAATTGTAGAGATCTCTTCCTAGTACTGAAGTGGTAGACATATTTAATAGGGGTTAGTCTACTATACAGATTTATTTTTTTAAAAAAATCATTTTCCTAATACCAATCATGATGGGAAATACATTTTTTTCCAGTGTGACGAACATAGTTTTTTGAGCATGTCATGAGGGTGCTCACAAAATGGCTACCATTTGCCTAGCCATAGACCTTAACATTGCTTAGCCATGAACCTTAATTTATCAATCTGTCCATGACATTTTTATAGCCTTTCAGGATGTCTCTATTTTACAGTTCTCTCTCTTTTTTTTTTTCTGATTAGCTGGGCTCATTTCTTTTTATTTCAGGGGTGTTAAGCTTACATTGTCATGGCGGGACTTTTTCCCCTTCGCTAAACCGGGCGTGGGTGTGGCCAGTGTGTGGGCCGGGCATTTGACAGCCCTGCTTTATTGGGTCTAGAGAGATCTAGTAAATGAAGGAGGTTCTAGAGCTGTGTTGGCGAACCTATGGCATGCAGAGCCATTCCCCCCCCGGCATGCGAAACATCACCTGGAATAACCCCACTGTGCCACCCGACAACTAATTGTTGAGTATCTGGCATGCATGCACAGGGGGCAGAGGGGGGTGCATGGGAGATGCACGCGCATGCACAGATATGTGCAGTGTGCAAGGGGATCGCACGTGCATGAGCAGATGCATGGCACACGCAGGAGAAATCGCGCACGGATGCGCGATGTGCAGCAGGGGGATCGCACGCCATGCATGGGGGGGGCAGCACGCATTGCCTTCTGAGTGCTGGCACGTGAGCACAAGTGCATGCACAATTATCGGCACGGGAGCCGAAAAAGGTTGCCACCACTGTTCTAGAGACTATTCATGTATTTGGCAGTATGTTACCTTCTTATGTTTTTTTTTAAACAAAAATAAGATTATTTCTTTTTCATGAAATTCATGCTGAATAGAGTGTCTGATGGGTACAAATGGAGGTAGCCACAAACAGAATATTGATAAAATTGCTTCTTCTTAGCTCAATAGGTTGGATTTATATCTAGTTCATCAAAGGTGGAAGAGTGATTTCTTCTTTATCTAGTATATCTTTTCTGCTTACAAATGATGGCAATTTTACTAATTCTTCTACTTGCAATCCTCTTTTCTACCCCCACTCCAATTGTTCTGAGTCTATAAAAACACAGGAGATTGGCAAACAGTAACAAGCACTGCATTGTGTGAATGTTTATATGTGCATGAAGAAAAAGAAATTATTGCTTCTTTGACGCGATAACATTGAAGTTCAAACATTTGTTTGTATGATTTAAGGAAGACTATAAACATATTATGAATGTGTAAATATACTGTATAAAACCATGCAAAGAAAAAAACAAGAAAGGAAAAATTATGAAATAGTATCTCATGATAACTGTGGCACATTGATTAAAAATCATTATTTGATTCCAGTGAAATATATACTGTGAATATATATGTGTGTGTATGTGTGTGTGTGTATGTGTGTATGTATGTGTATGTATGTATGTATGTATGTATGTATGTATGTATGTATGTATATGTATCTGATGAGATACACAGCCATTCCTGACTGCAATGCAGACAGATCTTCCTGATGGAAAACTGATCTAGAAACATCCCTTCTAATATAAAACACCATATAGGGACAGCAATATTCACAGCAAACTGCAATTATGCCAAAATAACAACATGATGTTTAATGCAAATACATAAGTCACAGCATTTATATGATTATGTCCTTGTGCGTGTTATTTATCCATGAATATAAATTCTATAACTGATAGTGCAACTTGTTCCTTTGTAGTAGGCACATTGGAACATATTTTGAGTTTGTTATTTTAAGACTGTGGAATGGATTGTGGATCAGAAGTTTAAAATGTTCTTATGGCACAGATGAACAACCTGCAGCCAGTCAGATGATCAGGTCTGGTTGTTTCCTCATCCTCTGTTCTCCACTAGCCACAGGGTTCCAATTTCATATGCTCATATACTTTATAAAGTGATACCTGAGAATCTGTTAAGATGTAAAGACTGCAGATCACTGTAAACCTGCCTCTGTGTTAAATTTTAACAATTAAGTAAATTCAAGGCAAAAATAAACTTTTAAGGTCTTGTTATGTAAACATCTTTGACATATATCAGAGTGGTTTGTCTGCTTTTTGACTGAAGGAAAAGTTTCTCACTCCTACTCAGGAGGAACATTAGCACATTACCGGGGCAATGAACTAGTTTGTACAAAATCAATTTTAAATTCTCCCTTAATCAAAATCAATTTTAAATTCTCCCTGAATTTCTTTAGTGCCCTTTTGACAGTTTTTTTGGGTATAGTTAATAGCATGTGAAGGAGAATTTTCAGTAATCTAGAGAAAAAGCAGAAGGAAAAGATGCTGGGTTTAAATTCAAGGGAGTTTGAAGAGTAGATACCTTACACCCTCTTCATTTTTTAAATGATGTTGTTCAATTTCTAGACTACTTTTCAACAGGCAAAATGAAAACTTTATTTCAATTTATTATTCCAGTAATACTCTGTATCCTCAAAAAATATTCAAACTTCAATGTTTTTCTGCTTAGATGTCTCTTATTGTCTATATCCCTAAAAATAAGTTTGTGTCAAATGCCCACACTCTATTATATCTTTGATGGTATGAACTGAACAGTTGTGTTAGATGACTTAAAATTATTTCTATTAAATAAAAGTGAAGTCTTGTTGGAAAAAAAGGAATAGAAAACCCCATATTTATTTGTTCTTACAACTTCAGAATAAACAACAACAGAATCATGCATTTAAATTACATTTCCTAACAGATTAAGATTGAACAGCTTGTCTCAATTTTACTCTTTAATCTTTATAGGTTTCTGTTATTCTGTGAAATGGTCTTTAAACACAATATTTCTGTGTACATTTTAAAACTCAAAACATATTCAACTTAAAAACATATAACATCCAAGGCAATAAAAATTAACAAAAGTATTTAACAAAATTCCATATGTCTCATGTGGGTGGATAAATATGTTTTTAACAGCCACTGTGTTAGAAATATAGATATAATGAATTCTAGGCTAAGTTTTATGATCAATTTATTTTATGGTAATATTTGGTATTAATTTCCAGGAATCTTAGGTTACAGGAAATTAGACAAAAAGTTCAGATTTTGATACATTATTGAAAAACACATTATCGTAATAAAAACTGAACTTTATATATAATTACTTCATCATCATCATAAACAGATTTTTGGGGAGATAACAAAATAAATAAATAAAATTCAAGTAGTTGTTAAAATGTATTTTTGTAGTTCTCGGAAAAAGGAGAAAAGAGAAAAAGGAAAAAGTCCCTAAAATTAAAATATTCAGCTAATATTTCTATATTATTTTATCCAAAGCTATTTCATTTTATCCAATTAAACCATTAACATTTAAGTCATTTATTTAACAATAAGAGAAGAGGAATATGAATGAAATATGCAGTTCAAGTGTTTAAATTGTCTTCAACTAGGATTATCAATTTAAATTTTTACTTGTTCAAATGCAAATAAATATTTAGATCAAATATAATTGCTGAAGATTAGTAACTGAATGTGCAATATAGTCAGGGGTGGGATTCTATCAGTTCGCACCTATTCACTAGAACTGGTTGTTAACATTCTAAGCAGTTCGGAGAACCGGTTGTTAGAAGAAATTACTGGCCTAATCCTGTAAGGAAGGCAGGAAGGAAGCATTCTGGTGTTGCTTACAGAAACTGCCTCTCTGTTAACCCTTATTATATTCTTGGCAGGACTAGACTTCCTGTCTCAGGAACCTCTCTGGAGTTTTTTTTCCCCCTTCTTTGGTTCTTTGCTTGTGTGGAGTGACCATTTAAAGTTACAATGGCACTGAAAAAAGTGACTTATGACCATTTTTCACACTTACGACTGTTGCTGCTCCCCACAGTCATGAGAGGCCAGGCGAGGAGATGCGTGCCTCAATGTGAGTGATATTGAGTTGGCCACGCCCAGCCAATAACATGACCACCAAGCCACACCCACCAACTAAGCCATGCCCACAGAACCGGTTGTTAAAAAATTTGAATCCCACCCCTGAATATAGTATCCATTTCAATTGTCTTCCTGCTAATTTTAAAACTATTAGTTATTGAAAGTTCATTAACATTTGCCAACTCAATTAATCTTGCAGACCAAAATTAATCTGTACAATAACTACTCAAATGTATCCACTGTATCACATAAGCACATTATATGAATCAATGTTAGTGTGTTGAAGATGATATCTTCAGCAGCTAGCTGTATATTTTTATCTAGATATTCAAAAGACACTAACATCATCATAAGTTCAAATCTGAATTAGCATGTTATTCCATAGCCTGTCTATCTAGTAGCTAATATAAAGTATTGAGAATTCCATATTTGGAAAAATAATTGGACCGTAATAGATTTCAACTTTTTAGGGGTGTCAAATATGCCAATTCCAAGATGGTATTTGAAGGCGAATTTCCTACATACAAAACTTCCCATTCATTATTCTGAGAAAGAATATATGTTTTACAAAACAATAGGAACAATAAAATTATTTTCTGTCTCTAACAACTTATAATATCTGTATCTGCTTTATCTGGCTGTATAGGAAAATGATTTAGCCTTTAAATTAAAGAGGGAGAGGAGAGAGGGAGAGAAACAGATTGTGCGTATGTGTGTATGTTGGTAAGAGTTTGGAAGTATTTTGCCATTGTCTCCTTCCTAGGGCTTCTTAGGGCTCAGAGAATGACTGGCCCAAGCTGAAGCAAGTACCAAATGGTTTGATTATATTCATAGAGTTGGAAGGGACTAATTAGCGAGATGTTAGGTCTCCCAGTTTCTAACGTGCATGTATGTGCGAAGACCAGCTGGCGATCGCGCGCATGTGCGTTAGAAACTGGCTGAACACCTGGTCTTCAAGTTGGTCTTCACGCACATGCGCGTTAG